TAGCCACAGCCATATCCAGAGCCGTAGCCACAGCCATATCCAGAGCCATATCCACAGCCATATCCAGAGCCGTAGCCACAGCCATATCCAGAGCCATAGCCACAGCCATATCCAGAGCCGTAGCCACAGCCATATCCAGAGCCGTATCCACAGCCATAGCCACAGCTACCACATGAGTTTCTATAATAGTTTGAACACATGGTGGCAAGAAATGAAGGCTCAATAGTTCTTTAGAAGAGCAGATGGAGGTTTCTGAAGTCTGAATGTCCTCTCTTGCCCTGAGACCTTTATATACTACCAGAAATGGGTGGAGCATACAATACAAACTCCATAGCCTATTACCACAGCAATTTTAATTTTTAGAAAGCTCATCATTCTAAGGACAACAATTTCTATTCAGGTAGTTATGTCCAGGATTTGGCCCTAACTAGTCATGGGAACATAAGAAAACAAAGGTAACCTATACATTGAATAAGTATGTCTGTGCAATATAATCAAACTTAATTGAGATTTTTTCACTCCAGGGGGCACTAACACTCCTGCAATTCCAGGTAAACATACATGGGCATGAGAGATGCTCCAGTATCTCCTCAGGTTCAACAGGAAAGCACCCTGGCTGGAGGTAAGAGGCAAACAGCAGGTGTATGAGGTGAGGCTTTCTCAGGTTATATCTACAAGAAAGTGGATGGAGCCCAGGTAGAATGGCCACTGTGGTGGTGAGAAGATCTAAATGGGTGCAAATCAGAGGTCTGATGCAATATATTAAAATAAAAGCAACCATGATTTTATCCAATGCAACATAATCCACTCTATTTAAGACATTTTTCAGTGTGATACTTCTTTGAAACACCTGCCACTTACATCACCAAGTTTTATCTGCTCCATAACCTACTGATTCTTCAAAGCACAGCTTAGACTATACTTTGTATAGGAAGCATTCCTGGACATTGATAACAAGTATTAGGCGTAATTCCTCTGTTCTTCCATAGCCTACCTCTATTGTGGTACTGAATGTTATATTAGCACACTCTGTCTTAATTATCTGATTCCCTCAGTCAGTTATGAGTTATTTAAGGCCAATAACTTTGTCTTTATTTTATGGGAATCTAAAGAATCAGGCAACTCACTAACTGTTGAATGACAGTCTATGAGATTTTGTCCACCTGTAAAAATTGTTATTTTAATATATAGAATGTCATATAAGAAAAAATAATAACAATAATTATTATTAACATTTATATTTCCTTCCATAGCTTTTGAGATATATTTATCAGTTCATCTGATGCTGACAAAAACAACATAAAGTAGGAAATTGTGGTGTGTATTTTTATACACATTCCAGATGAGAAAAGGGAGGCTGAGGATAGTTAAGTCTTGCCCAAGGACTATGAGTTATTTAGGGGTAAAGTTGAATTGTTTCAATCCCCCCTATAACATAAAAGTTAGGGCAAGACCCGTGAATTTTTTTCATGAACTATTTTTTCCTTCAATTTCTCAAATGCAAAATATTCACCCTGACTAAAATTACCAATATTTTACACTTCTGTCACCTGGATTTTCTTTCTTTGTGATCTCACCTTGCTGCCACAGCAGACAACTCAGCCCCCTCTCAAACCTGCTCCATGACCCTCTTAAGCATCACACTGTGGTACTAGAGCTGCCCCTCAGCACTTGGAATCTGCCTACTGAGAGTACAATCTTCATAACCTTCTTTAAGTCAGCATTTAAGTAGAAATGATGGTAACCTGTCTAAACCTCTACAATTTTAGTCAATATAGGGTAAAAGCACCTGGACCCACAACTCTTGTGTCAGAATTAAAACCTCAGATTCTAGGCTGCCTTCTAATTATGACTGTCCCAATTTCACAGTTCTTTCCACTAAACTATATTCAACATTGGCTCCATTCCTGCATACTCCATGACCCCTCCACATTCCATGTCACCTGCTTTCTTTCTAAAACATGTTGGCGTGACCATTTTTACCCTCATCATTCCATTGAGTCTTTTTCCAGACAGTGACTGAACAGTGCAATTAATTTTACAAGAATTTTTGAAGACCTACTTCATGCACATTCCGGGACATAGAATATTGAATAAAAAGTCTGTATCTAAAGCTTAACGATGAGCTCCATGCTTTAAAAACCCTAGGGAGAGTGGATCATCATTTCCATTGGACCACTCTCTATCCTTCCACCTCATGCAACATGAAGGATTAGATTATTTTCAATCTTCACTCTTCCTTACCCATTCACTTTTCAATATACTCTAACAAAAACCTACTGTTATCACTTCCTCCCTAAAAAAAAAAAAAAAAAACTTTTTTTCATGATAGATCCCATACCATCTGCCAAATCTAACGGAAACTTCTCTAGTAATTAATAGAATTTGATGATAAAATTAAAAGCAGGACCCAATCACCAGAAAACAAACTACTTCACTAAAACCCATTAATTTGTTATGAAAAGTGCATTGACACTGTGTCAATTTACTTGGTATCAGAGCATATGTTAGAGTTTTTAACTATGAAATAGATGTATGATAGATGTACAAAACATCTAACTTGGGACTGTACCCATGCATTTGACATGAGAAAATTGAGATAATGGACTACAAAATTCTGGGATTATCAAATATTGCTAATATTAATAAAATATATAAGTGTGAGCCATAAAATTTTTTGTTAAAATGGTTGTGTCAGCATTTTCATATTGAGCAACATAATAATAAATATAACAAAAATCTACTGAGTTCTCATCGTAGTAGAGTTTTGCATATTTTATTTGTTTTGTACTCTCAACGATCCTGATCTAGCACTATTTTATCATTTTACCTCTGAATATACTGAGGCTCAGAAGAGTTAAATAATGTACCATGATCACACCACTAATAACTGATGGAGACTATATCAAAGCACAAGTAATGTGACTCTGGAACCTAGACTCTTTTTTTTTTTTTAGAAAATAGGGGTTTTTTATTTAAATTCAATTAATTAACATATAATGTATTATTAGTTTCAGAGGTAGAGTCTTATATAACACCCAGTGCTCATTTCATCATGTGTCCTCCTTAATGCCCATCACCCAGTTACCCCATCCCCCCACTCCCCTCCGCTCCAGCAGCCCTCAGTTTGTTTCCTATGATTAAGAGTCTCTTACAGTTTGTCTCCCTCTCTGATTTTGTCTTGTTTTATTTTTTCCTCCCCTCCCCAATGATCCTCTGTTTTGTTTCTTAAATTCCATATATGAGTGAGATCATATGATAATTGTCTTTCTCTGATTGACTTATTTCTCTTGAGAGCTTGTTTGGAGGTTCTAGCAGGGGAGCGCAACTACTCATATACCCTTGACCGAAGAACGGTCCTCCTCTATCAGGGAAGGTCGTCCTCTTCGACCGCAGCTTCGGGAGGGACGCACATGGAGCGGTGAGGGAGGAAGGGGACACCCGCCTAGCCAGCCAGATCAGCCGAATCAACCCCGGCGATCAATGGGGTGACAGATGTCGCAGCCAGATCACCCTCACATCCATGATTGACTTATTTCTCTTAGCATAATACCCTCTATGGAACCTAGACTCTTAATCACTATCTTCACAATTTTCTTCCTGGAAGTGTAGTCATTGGAATGACCTTGAGGAAATGATATCTTGCAGAAAGTGAGTGTAGTTATATACAATGGTTCATGCACCGGGGAACATAGATATCAACTTAATATAGGTTCCAAAGATTTCTAGACATAAAGCAATATTGTAACCTCTTTTATTGATTTCTACGGATTTGTTTTCTTTTTTAGGCTCATAAATAATACATCCCTATTGTAAAACTTTCAAAAAAATAAGTTTATTCTCAATAACGAGATGGATGTGGGCAATGGTCTGTTAATTCTTTAATGACCTTGGCTGATGACAGGGAGTCTCATTTGCCAATTTCCATGCTGTAAATATTCTTAGCATGACTAGTTTCAAATTAGCTGGCTTACAAAATTCCTGAAAGTTTGTAACATCTTTTAATACTTTAATAAATTAACTTTCATTGTTTACAACTTTAATCAATATGGCATTTCTTTTGTGCGTGATATAAGGCAGGTATCTATCTTTTCTTTATCCTAAACAGATGACAAATTGATTAATCCCATTTACTGAATAAACTATCTCAGATGAAAACTTTGTTCCTAGGCACCTTCTGAAGTCTTTAGCACTGGCTATTGTGTTCTTACTATCTCAGAATGATCTACTCCTTATACCTGGATAACATGGAGGTATTGCTTGATGGTTGTTGGTGGCCTAACATGACTTCTCTTCCTGGCTACAGTCCTCCCTGGCCAGATCGTTGTGACCTTATAAAACCAACTGTACAATAGAAATATATCATGAAACACATAGAATTTAGAACTTTCCAGTAGCCACATTTTAAAAAACCCAAAAAGAAACAGATGAACTGCTTTTATAACATATTTTATTTAATATACCCAAAATATTACCACAATATATAATCAACAGTTTTTTAATTGTTTGATATAGTTTTCATTCTTTTTTTATACGAAGTCTTTGAAATCTAGTGTGTATTTTACACTTAAAATGCATTTCATTATGGACTAGCCACATTTCAAGTGCTCAATAACAATATCTCTCTAGTGGCTACCATATTGGACAATGCAGCTAAAGAGAATCTCAGAATTCCCATATGGGGGTGATGCTGATTATAAATTTTCCAATAGAGGTTGCTACTTAAGTAGTAGCTGCCAACTTACTCACTTCTTTTTTAAAATACCTCTTCCTTGAATTTTATTTTCCCTCTCCTGTAACAGACCAATTTCAACTCATCCTTTATGGCTCTTCTCATTTGTAATTCTCCTTTAGAAGCTATTTCTAACCCTTTTCTAGTCTTCTTGTCATGACTTATTTTGGTTTCCCTCTTGAATTCTTCCTCAGTAGCACTATAACACCCATAAACACACACGCTAGGATGGGAATGTGTGATTTATTACTTTGTATCCAAATGAACATTTTTAATTATTGGAAGAAACAACTATGTGTTCTTGTACCTCTATCTGCGGCACCAATCTTAACAAGAAGCTGGAACATGGATTTTAAGGTTTGTTAAATGACTGAAAGAACAAATAAATGATTTTACAATTTACTACAACTATAACATGCAACAGGTCAACAAATTGTTACTTCATGAAGAAGCTTTAAAGCTGAAATC